TTTTTTTGTTTTTTGTTTTTACATATTTTGTTAAAAGGCCAAATGAGGAATTCAAACAAAAAAAAAGTAATTTTCTGGTTTGTTTTATTCTTGGATCAGGCTTTAAAGGGCTAAGGGAGAGTCCAGCCATCCTGCGGAGGAAACTTATTTTGGCCGTTTCTATCCGCGATCTCATTCTTTCAGTCACAATCCAAAGTTGGTGACCATAAATGAGGGTAGGAACATTAGGAATGCTGACACTATTTATCATTATTGGACATTAATCTTTGATCATTTTTATCCAACACATTTCTTCCTCCATATTTCTAACAGATGCAACACTTAAACTCGATTCCTCTCAAAAATGTCTCAGCATCTGCTCTGGAGCTTCCTGTACTCAAGACTCGCTCCTCCTTTCTCAGAACAGAAAAATATGAAGAATAGCAAACACTTTTCCACAGCATTTTTAGCCAAAAGCACCCCAACGCCTGCAGCTTTGCCAAAAAGACTTCTGACCTCCTATCTTGTCTTTTAGACTTCAAAACAGCAGGGTAAAAAGGTGGAAAGGAATTCTTGTTCCTATAAAAGAATGAAAGTTACTGATATTAATCTGGACAGATTATGTCAGCCAATTCAACAAATTGCATATTGTTATTTGTATCCTTTTATGACACTTTATAATTAGTTTATTCAGTTATTTTATGACACTGTTCATTTAGTGTGACAAGTGTTTCAGAAATGTTTTCCCTTTAGATTCAAAGGTTTAAAGCTAAATGTGGATGTCAAGCAAAGAGAGCAACTTTTTTTGTTTTTAAAGGTGTGAGCGGAAGCAGTTTTGTTCTCCTGTTTAGTCATTCCTAATTTAAATCATCCCCATTTTCTAAATTAAAGAATTTATGAAAATGAACGTTCAGGCTAAGTCAGGCTTATTTGGCTTGGCAAATTTTCAGAAGGATGTATAACTGCATTTGGTTTTATTTACTGCCCTGCCTGAAACGCACACACACACTCAGCAAAGCCCAATTTGACCCCTGGTTATAAATATCACTGAACCTTTAATGCATTAGGAGCACTGAAATATATGTTATCTGGCAACGGTGAAGGAAAACTACATATTTGTTTGTACTCCTTAAAGTGCATCAGAAGCTAATAAATCATCTAAGATTAAAGCCACATGTTTTTTAAGCCTTTCTTCACTTTATTTTCACTAGAAAAAACTCGAATAACTGCATTAACTCTGCATATTCACAAATGTACAAAAAAAAAAAAAAACTAAAGAAAAAAAAGTTGCTCCCTTTCTATTGATACTTTTTGGCCACCTCAGTGGCGCCTGCTGCTTCTACAGCCCAAAGTGGCCTCGTGGCACTCTGAAACATCCTGATGCTCTGGACCTGGTTGCTAAATGTCTTGTAGGGTTGCTACTACTGCCTACGGGCAGCCATTTTTTAAGCATATAAGATCACAGTGTCATTTCACATCCACCTCAGGGAATAAAGACGAAACAAGACTCAAACCTGCTGAATAACGAGCGATAACCCAGAACAGGAGGGCGTTAGGAAAATGAAAAGTGAGGGCAGGCGGTTGAGCCCAGGTGGCAGAATGCATTCGGCAGGAGAAACACTTCTAATGAGACGCGTGTTTTCAACCTCGGCAGCGCCAGTGCACACAACCCTTTGCCGGCTTAGCTCCAGGGGACGTGTTAAGAGGTTTTGTGTTTGGATTCTGCTCTCTTCCTGTAGTTGCGTGCAGCAGCTCCTGTTGGGCGCGCTGAACACTGCCTGTCAAAATGTCACCGTGCCCCTGCCTCTGGCAGAATAATGTGCCCGAGGAGCTGCAAACTATGATACACGGCCTCGGGGGCTGTAATGTAGCGCGCGGCACTTCTCCCTGCCTGACAAATTGGGCAATATTTACAGGCTGGGAGTGAATGTTTAATAAGAGCTGGACATTAAGAGAAGGAACAGACTGCAGTCCTTCATGTGTTTAGCTTGAACGATTACTATACGCTTTCAATTTATCTCAGGCCTTCCCAAAGCTCACAATTCCTCCTGCCAGCAAGCTTTCATATCGGTCCCTGGTCTTGATGAGCCCCCTCTTCTTTGACTGTAATCCAGAGAGTTATGCAGTGCAAAGGTGTTGAAACAAAAACTGCTGTCAAAACCCTCCCCAGCCTCTCAGCCCGTTGAGCCCGCGCCAAACTCTACGCTAACTAATTTTCCGCTGAACACCTGCCATTAGGGACTCAATAAAACCTGCTTTGCATAAAGACCAGACACACAAGGAAGAAAATATTTGACGCTACACAAACACACCCGGGCACCACACTGACGTCTCCATGACTGGAAGCTCATAAACTAACCAGTGAAGAATGACTCTATTCACTTACGGGTGGTCGTAGGCATTAAAAGCTACTAATTACTCATCCTCCTCCTTCAAGAGGCTAACTGGTCCCACGTGAGCACAGAGGAGGCTTTACCACTTTATAGGTGGGCAGTGTTGACACTGGAGAGGTGTAACCAGACAGGAACAGAATCCATACAGCGATAAACACGAGCTGGAGGCTTCATGCTTTAACGGCCTGTAAAAGTAACTGGAAGCTCGGTCAGATCACTGTGGGCCAGAACGAACAGGACAGAGAGACAAAAAAAGAAAAAAAAGAGTAAATAAACGCAGACCATCAACATGTTTCTCCAATATATAACTTTATTTAAAATATTGTTACAATTTATTTACTCTACACATGTTCAAAACTTTTTTTTTGTTGTTGTACTGGTTAGTAAACCTTCAAGGGCATCTTAAGATATAAAACCTTTTTTTTTTTTCAGCTTAGTTCTGCCTCAGGTGTTAAGTGAAGTCTTTACACACTCAGTAAATGAGGAACCAGCTCTTTTAAACACCTTCAGTGTTCATGGAGTTCTCCAGGCAGCTGCTCCACCCACAGCTAACGGTGAACAGTGTCTCAAAGCTCGCACACTGTCATTTCCCCAATCTTTATAACATCTGTTTTAAATAAATAAAAGTTCAGAGTTGGAGAAGTAAGAGTGCTTTTTTTCTTTTGTCATCAGGATACTTTCTTTTAAAAACAACATTTTACAGGTTAAGCTAAAAGACAAACAAACAGAGCTGAAGATCTGACTTAATATCGATGCCTCCCTGCTGGGGAACAGCACTGAACAAATAATTACACGCAGGCAAACACTTAAAAAGCAGCGCCTCCGGCCCCCCCGTCAGGTTAGCCGAGGTCGGACGCGGACCAGCTGCTGATGAGGCTGAAATAATGACTGGAAGTGAACGGGCACCGTCCAGGCAAAGAGACTGGCTGAGCGGCCTGGAGAAAGCCATTTAATACCTGCATTGTGAGCCTTGTGGATTGCAACAGAAATCAAACGTAGAAAAAGACTCGCTGAATGACTTTATTATGCTCTGTACTGATTCGACACAAGACCCAGAAAACGGAGGCGCTGCTATGGCAACAGCGACCCGGCGGCAATAAGTGATGAACAAAGTTTGGGAGGCTCGTCTGCAGGACATGTCTCTCCTTTTGTTCGCGCGTCGTTTGCTGCCTTATCCAACATTCACTTCATCTGAGCTCCTCTGCCGGAAGTTTCTCTTTCGATAAATAGACGTTCAGTTACAAGATCAGGCTGACCAGCATCTCAAACACAAACACAGGCGGCCCACCGACAATATCAAACACAGACCGTCTGGACCGACGCGCGCGCCTCAACCTTCCCCCCGGTGCCTCCCACCTTTTAAAATGACATTTAGCTCACGGATGAAACGGACGACAGCTGCCAGCACGCGCCTGCCTGCGGCTGAGGATAAGACGGTGCCCGGCCTGGACGAGACAAACCAAAGCACAGAACTACTTTAAAAAACAAAACAAAACAAACAAGCAACAAAAACAGAAGCAGCTTTCTAGAATAGAAGCCTATTCACAGCAGCACGAGTCACGGGGACAGAGAACAAACATCAAACGGCAAAGAACACTGCTCTGAATACATTATCGGGAGGACGACTCAGTCAGTTGGCTGACGTATATATAAAAAAAAAAAGGAACAGAAGCTACACTGGGCACGTTCAGCCAACGTGGTGCTGCCACGGCAACCGCATCCCCCTGCGCTGAAGGAGGCAGACCTGGGGAGCCGGAGCAGAGGACACGCCAGGCCACGCACAATGGCGGCCTCTGGCTGTCTCCCAGTCCTGGAAACATTAAAATACTGTCAAGAGTTGAACATCTCCGGCTCCTCCATCAGCCGCCTCTAAACTGCACATTTCTCCAGCTGTCAAAGTGACCATCAGCGGCTTTTCCCCGTATACAGCGAGGTGTGTGTTGCTATAAGCCGCTGAACCGCCGGGTGACAAATATCTCCTGCTGCTCTTGACAGCTTTTGGTCAGAGCAGACGGACAGGGACATTTGTGTCAGGCTGGAACCGAATGAGTGGTGGCTACAGAATAGGAGACTCTTCCCATTTGTCTAAATCTGTCGGCCATCTCAGCTGTCTTACAGATGCAAACCCCCCCCCCATCTTCATTCGCTGGCGCTCATCGGACTCCTCCAATGAGCATCTCCAAGCTTATCAGCAATGTCACTGATAAATGCAGAGGACACGCTCGCAGACACACGCACACCAGCCGTCTCCAAGGTAATTAACAGAAAGCATGCTCTGACCGCGCTTTCACGCTCCAACCTGAGCACCAAAGCCAAAGAAAAACAAACCAACGGTGACACTTGAACACGTGCTCTCAAATTTTGTGTAAATTAAAAAAGAAAATTGTTCTTAATTGCATGAATAATCATGCTTCAAAACAAGGAATGAGTCAGTTATGAATTAGACGAGATAAAGTACTAAGCAGAATTAAAAAAAAAAAAAAAAGTACATAATGCACAC